GGGCTCGTAGAGGTTGTGTGCTGTTAAGAAGGCCTGTAACTGGGAGGAAACAACTTTTTCTAATATCTTAGAGAGAAAAGGTAAGTTCGAAATAGGCCTATAGCTACTTAGGGAAGAAGGCTCGAGACTGGAAGACTGGAGAACTGGAGTGACAGCAGCAATCTTAAGCTTTGATGGTACAGTTCCAGATGACATTGACGTATTAATAAAGTGAGTGATGAGTAGTGACAAAGCAGGCAAGCAATTCTTCAGTAAAGAGGTAGGTGCAGGATCAAGAAGACTAGTAGAGGAATTAGACAGCCTGATTATCTCATCAACCTCTGTGGGGACAATAGAGTCAAAATTAGAGAAGCTATGAGCATGGCATAAAGAGAGAAGTTCAGTAGTGGGAACAGAGGTAGGGTGTTGACAGGTATGAGATGTTTTACTCTGAAAAAACGTTCAGGAAAGCGTCACACATTTGATCAGAGCCCACTAGAGACTGTGTGGGTGGCTGTGTTAACTTTTTAATTGTAGTAAATAATGTTCTAGGCCTGTTTTTGGACTTATTAATAAAAGTAGAGAAATAAGATGATCAAGCCGCATTAATAGCGTTCCTGTACTGCTTAATGTGTTCAGTATATTCCAAGGAGTATATTTATATGTGAGGCCTGTGTAGGGCTTTACTGCCAAACACAAAATGTCGTGTTTTGCAGATGTATTCCAATTGCTCTGTTTTATACAAGTAATGACTGTGAGGGCAAATGCCAATCTTGTAATGCATCGCATTAATATATATATATAATATAGCTTTAAAGGGATACCCACACCGCCGTCATCATTTACTAACCCTCATGTCAATCTAAACCTGTACTCATTTTGAAGAATGTCTTGTCTCTCTTGTCTCTTGAAGTGCTCACTAGCTGCCCATTTCTTGCTGTTTAATCCTAGCACTATCAAGTCCTTGTCCTCACTTCAACGCTTTGCCTGGTAAACAGGTTTAACTCGTACCATAAGCTGCTTTCAGGTTTAGATGTAGTCCACCAAAAACCATAATCACAGTCTTACTCTCTTTAGAGCACAAGTACATCAAATGCCTTGTTATGAATTTAGATTCTGTGGTCTGCTTGTTGCCTCTAATAAATTGGACAAACAGGAAGCCAGTGTCTGTCTGAAATACAATCTGTATCCATGCATTCAGGATTTAATAATGGCAGGAAAGCTATTAAGGTATTAAACAGTCAGGTGAGGCCTAATCAGCCACAGTGCTGAAAGAGCAGGGCTTAGAAGCACTGCAGTCTGTTGGCTATTTACGCTAGATCGTTTTTTTATGAGGTCGAGCCAGTTTGAAGATCTTCTCTTATTGAGGTTATTTCCAGTGATTAGCTCAGCCCTGATGGTCAGGGGTGGTTATCTAAAGGTTATGGATCTAACACAAAACTTGGAAGTTCAGTTTCAAGCAGAGAATTTCATACATTTCAGCAACGTACATCTACAGTGCATGTACCAATGTGCACTATAATGGTTTTGGAACCATAATTCCTTGTTATCATCTTTATCTCTTTGCCTGATTTCTTACTACATACTAATTCTCCTAAATATTTAGTTAATTATAGAGTTTAACTTTATTGGCTAGCAAATATCTTAGATATAAAATGTAATTGCGACAGTACTTCACTGATCTTCTGATGTGAATCTTTCCATATTTTGCCTAATGTAATAGATGGGAAAAAGAATTCCACTTCCTCTGGCATTTAATCAATAGTTTATACTATTTCATTCTGTAAACAAACAAATAAAACAAAACAAACAAATTGATTCTGACATTAGTGGGGACAGCAGCCTCATTTTTGCATTTATGATCGACGTTTGACAGCAATTTCATGACTTCTAAATTTGACGTTTAACAATTTAGCTTTCTGTACCTCAAGATAGAATATCTAAACAAGCATACATTCTGAAAAAACAACTTATTTAGGTTATTAAGTTGACTTAAATTAATAATTTTTTGTAATATCAGAAGTTAAAGGTGACTAATGACAACAAGAACAAGAAGGCAGTTTAAAAGAGACTTGAATTTTATTCGGTCTATAGTGCAATCATTAACATCTCTCATACATCAGCATCAGAGTACATACATAATATATGGACAGAACTTACAAATGGGGTGTGTGAGCTGAGAGTGGTTGTTCAGTGTCTTAATGACACTGTACATCACTTTATTTTAATATTAAAAATTTATCGGACCATTGGAGATTCTGAGGGAAAAAAAAAATGTGCGGGACCCTACTGTTCAACTCAACTTTGTTGCACATAGATAAACTACACACTTTAATTTTGTGATATTCTAGCTACCAGTTTGTTTCACAAGTTTGCACTTTGGGGAAGTCGTGGCCTAATGGTTAGAGAGTCGGACTCGTAACCGAAAGGTTGCGGGTTCGAGTCTCGCACCGGCAGGGATTGTAGGTGGGGGGAGTGAATGTACAGCGCTCTCTCCC